ATCAGTGTCTCGAACCAGCTAGTAGTTCTCATCCGGTCTCCTCAAGCATGTGCCCGGAACACATCTCATCCATCAAACACGTCCAAAATGTAAACTAAACGACCGTCTTCCCCCGAATAGAACGTACGGCCATTATCGCTGTATCTAGATGGAAAGTTGCCCCAAATACAGCCGTAATGACCAAATAGAACGTACGGCCATTATCGCTGTATCTAGATGGAAAGTTGCCCCAAAGACAGCTGTAATGACCATGTGTTCTATTCGGGTGAAGGAAGTCCTATAGAGTCCCTTTGGTGTTTTCTCTGCACCACTCACTGATCCACTCGTTCCGCTTTATTGCATCAGTGGTGCTTGGCACCTACCGTCTTCCCCTGAATAGAACATACGGTCATCATCATAGCCATATGTGGCTCACCTTTTAGTCCAGATGCAGCTGAAATGACCGTACATTCTATTCGGGGGAAGAAGGTACCACTATGTTTAGCAAGTGTGAACCCTACCTACCTATATACCTACCACATCTGCTACGTACTCTGCGCTACCACCTTCATCCGAATAGAACGCCCCATCATTATTCCTATATCTAGACAGAAAGGTGCACAAAATACCACTGTAACGACCATACATTCTATCCAGGTGACGACGATCATTGGCTCTCATGAACGCTACCATCTTCAGATTCTTCACCCCAACAGAATGCCTGGTCATTTTTTGCAGTATAATTCCAGTCCAGATGCAAAGGATAATGACCGGACATTCTGTTAGGCAAGACTACCCACTTCCGCTAGACCGCACTACCGTCTTCACCCGAATAGAACGCCCGATCATTATAGCTGCATTTGGCCCAATTTTCAGTAAGGCCCGTTCAGACGGACGGACGGACAGACGGCCGTACAGCCATACGTACTAGGGCACACGCACAAAAAAAAAAAAAAAAAAGGTGAAAAATGAGAAAAGAGAAGATAGATTGCTTGCTTGCTTGATTGGTTGGTTGGTTGATTGGCTGATACAACGATTGCTGACAGATTGATTGATTGACGGATTGATTCGACAACAAAAGCAGTGCAGCAGTGTGAGGGAGTGGGGGAGGCAGAGGGATCAGGGGAGGCAGCGGGAGCGGGCAAGGGAGGCAGTGGGAGCGGGGGAGGCAGCAATGGCAAGGCAGGGCGGCGCGGAGCGGGAGCAGAACGGGAGGCAGCGGGCTGCGGGCAGCATGTGTGTGCGGGTGCATGTGTGTATGTGTTTTGTGTCTGTGCGTGGGTGTGCGTGTTTGTGTGTGTGAGCGCACTCGCACGTGCGTTTGTGTGCGCTTTTGTGCATGTGGGTGCGCGCTTGTGGATGGGGATGTGTGTGTGCGTGTGTTTGTGTGTGTGTGTGTGTGTGTGTGTGTGTGTGTGTGTGTGTGTGTGTGTGTGTGTGTGTGTGTGCTTGTGTATTTCGCGCACATGTTTTTTTTTCTTTTTCATTTTACATTCATTCAATCAATCAATCAATCAATCAATAAATGCATCAATCAATGCATCAATCAATGCAGCAATAACTGCAGCAATCAATCAACAATCTTTTTTCTTGCATACTTTTTTTTTTGGGTTGATTGTTTTTTACAATCAATCAAGTTGAATCAACCAATCAATCAACCAACCAACCAACCAACCAACCAATCAATCAACCAACAATAACTGCAGCAATCAATCAACAATCTTTTTTCTTGCATACTTTTTTTTTGGGGTTGATTGTTTTTTACAATCAATCAAGTTGAATCAACCAACCAAACCAACCAACCAACCAACCAACCAACCAAYCAATCAATCAATCAATCAATCAATCAACCAACCAACCAACCAACCAACCAACCAATCAATCAATCAACCAACCAATCAATCAATCAATCAATCAATCAACCAATCAATCAACCAATCAACCAATCAATCAATCAATCAATCAATCAATCAACCAATCAATCAATCAATCAATCAATCAATCAACCAATCAATCAATCAATCAATCAATCAACCAACCAACCAACCAACCAACCAATCAATCAATCAATCAACCAACCAATCAATCAACAATTGATCAACCAATCAATCAACCAATCAATCACTCAATAAATCAGTCGATAAATCTTTTCTGTGTTTCCCAACCCAGAAAAAAAAAGAAAAAAAAAAACAAACGTTTTTTTATGTTTTTTTGATGGGGGGACCCCCCCGACACCCACACTCCCTCCAGACCTTCGGTCTCCTGACAGCCCCCCTGAAGCGCCCTCATTTCCAGCGTCAAAGTCCGTACGTACTGCCCGTACAGGGGCAGGGGGGCGTAAGTACGGACGTACGGGAGTATTCCCGTGCGACGGGCCGACACTGCAACACACAGCGGCAGGCTTGCAAGGGGGAGTTTCTCTGCGATGACTGCACACATTATGAACTGCATCAACGCTGCAAACAACAAGCAGATGCTCCTCTCAGACGGCTGCGGACATTATCGACCTGTTTTCTGGACGGCTGTTGACATGATCATCCTGTTTTGTAAACGCCCCACACGGGGGCCACTCCTATAACCTAATTGGGATGGGCTATACAGCACCGCTGCAGATATTATGAACTGCGTCGCTGCTGCAGACAACAAGCAGGAGCTTCTCTTTGACAGCTGCCGACATTACTGACCCGTTTTCGGACGGTTGCGGACATTATCGACCTGTTCTCGAACGGCTGCGGCGAGAACCTTATCGACCTGTTTCCCGAGGGATCCGCATGACCTCTCATGCGCTTTTGGGATTTGCAATTCACATAAAACAAAACTTGATAAAAGTCAGTCAAACTGACTAACTAACAAATTAGGCAAAAAAAAACGCAATCCACGTGACCAAAAACAAAAACGTTTTTAACTCTGGCCAGCTCCATGCATGCGAATGCTTTTTTTTTCACAAAAATCAACAGCAGACAGCCAAGCTTGTCTGCTGAAATGCACATAGCCTTCCAGAAAGCAGAAAGAACGCTATCACCGTCCCAACAACACACGCTTCCACAAGGGTCATTGTCCCAATGACCTCATCGATTGCCCTGTGTGATGTGTATATGCCCATTGCTCTTCCAAGAAAAGAACTCCCACCATCGTCAACACGGCATCATGCAAGGGGAAATCGATGAGGCGAACAGTAAAACGGAGACGGAGGAAAAGACAGGTGCAAGGAGGGACAGCAGGAGTGGGAGGACTGGGGCTGTCTCTTATACACATCTAGATGTGTATAAGAGAG